GCACAATAAGGAGGGGCTTCGTAAACACAAACCCATAACAACCGTGAAAAAAAAAAGTTTCCCCCCCCCCCCCATGAATGCTTTTCACATTTTTGAACATTATGACCACAAACTTTAATGTATTTTTTGCTGACTCATGCAGAATGGGCAGAGAGGATATCTCTGAGAATTGGTAGCAGGACATCAGGCATAGAAACAGTGAGCACTGGGATGCCACAAGGCTGTGTACCGAGTCCTCTCCTCACCACTGACTGCATCCAAACCCAAGGCAACGCCATCATAGTGTATGTTGACAGAAGGTGCCTGTGAGGGTTTCACCTGGTCCCACAACATTCAGGGACAACAGATATTTTCTTCTTAAGAAAACTGAGGAAATTTGGGCTGTCATCCAAACTCCTTTCAAACTTTCACAGCTCTACAGTTCATCTAACCAGAAGGATTTCTACCCTAAATTTCACCAGGCTCCATTCCAGCTGGTGTGTGATGAGAGGATGCTGTAAAATAATTTGTCGTTTGAAGCTCAAGCAAGGGTTTGAATAGGCTCACCAATGAGAAAATGATAGCCGAAAGTGTAATGCTGTAAATATCCAGAGTATGTTCTTGATGCAGGAATGACACCATGGTGAGCTATGAAGGGTGACAACCAAGATCTTTGAATCAAGGGAGGGGGGAACTGTCGGCTGAGACAGACAAACTGTCAAGTCCCTATAAAGTCAGATTTACGATTTATGTTTTGTCATATCTTTATTTTAGGACTTTTAAAGCTAATTATATTTACATTTCACATATATATATATATATATATATATATATATATATATATATATATATATATATATATATAAAAGATCAGATTTTAAGTTTGTTTCATCTTTTCGTTGTAAAGTGATATAAAACCGACCTGCCCAAGAAGAAGCAGCAACTACCCTAAATTTTTAATGACACCCTTCCACGTTCTTAACACCTGTGTCCTAATGATAAGGTGACTATCTGGACTATAGTCCACTTATTAGCAGATCTGCCTTAATCACCATGGGGTTCCCATGGCGACTGAACACGGGCAGATGGAGAGGCTCTGCTGACTAAGGTTTTGCACTGTTTCTTGGGCAATTTCCTTCGGCTGAATGGCTGTCAAGACACCTCATAACATGTTCTCATCAATGTTCTCTGTATTTTTGAAATTACAGTTATATGTCTTTTCATTCATACAATTTCAGGCACACAAAGGAGTTGGTGTAAAACTCTATTATCCTGATCAAACCTCAAGTGCTAATTTTAATGTTTTTAATCATTGATCATTTCTCTGCACCGCTGCTCCTCTTTAAACCTCCACAATTGCACGTTTCACTCATTTTCAACAAGAAAATGTAGTTTATCCTGTTCCATAAATTTGGTATAACTTGAGACAAGGAGCAGTCCTTTTTTCTTTTTTTTTTTTAAGCAACAGCTTGTTATATTCAATATGCAATTTGTGGAAAGGGTTTGCCTTTGGTTATGAACATTCTCTGAATTCTTGAGTACAAACACATGCAGATGTGTGTTACTTGGTTTCTCCGTCGCCTTTGGGTGGAATTCCAGATCGACAACGGATCAGCAACTCTGATCACTTTAGCCGATCGAGCTGCACGTTAAATCATCGGAGAGAAAAACAGGTTTATTCCCACTCGAAGAAAGTAACAAATGCACTCCCTCAATAATCTCTTGGAAACATCCAGCTGGTCATATTGAAAAAAAAAAAACAACAAAAACAAAAAAAAAAAAAAAACCACGAAGACCAGTACAGGCTGTTCCATCAAAACTACAGAGTGAGTCACTCGTTCTTCTTGCTCTTTGTTGTGAGGAGGGCGGCGCTGTGGGCGGGTTGGAGGTGAGACTCATAGAGGTGAAACAAGCCATCAGCTCAGCTTCAATCCTCAGAAGTCAGCATCCGCAGGAGGAGCTCACACACACCTACCTACACACACCTGTCTGCAAACTCACCGCCACACAACACCAAGGTAAGACTGTAAGAATATTTGCATTGTATTCCTAATTAATTCATTTTTTTTTACTAACTTAATTGCTATAAAGTTTAGGAAGCCACATATACATACATATTTCTTTATTATTACTTTGCACTGCGGGATTTTGGATATTTTGATAAATTAACTTCGGATTTCTGATTTTTCTGCCATGTGAAGCTCTCAACAAAAGCTAATGTTTTTGCATTTTTGTTTTTCTTTACTGTTTAATTGTAGCAATTTGTCATATGCAGTTGGTTCTCTTTCGCTACAACAGAATGAAAAAAAAAACACGACAATTTGACCAAAATTTAATATTTAAACACTGAAACTTAAAATGTAAAAATATATTAAAAACTTTGCTCATCATATTTAAAATTATCACCAAAACTATTCAATAAAATCTGTCAACCTTGGCATAGATGTAGTTTGCCGCACATAAGATCAGATTTTAAGTTTGTTTCATCATTTCGTTGTAAAGCGATATAAAACTGACCCGTCCAAGAAAAAGCATCAATGGTCATTTGCCTCTGATGACATCACAAAAGGCGCAGAGCGCCACCAAGTGGTTACGAACCATTTGACACTCAAGCGCAGCTCGTCTGCTTTAGTATGTCTATGAAGTCTGTCCGGAAGTTCCTCATGTGGCTTAGTTTTTACTGATGCCAGCTGATCGGCTCGATTCTTGCACTTCCTGTGATGTCATCAAACCAAATAGACAAAAAGTAGACTTAGAAGGCTTATTTTGGTTTTTAGTATGGAAGTCAAAAAGCCTTGCGTTTCACACTTTATTATCCATCCGTGTTATTCTGGACATAGTACATATATTAGTGGAAAAAATTAACTGTTTGATAGTGACTTTAATTTTTACAAGTTTGGTAAAGATCACAGGCACCGACTTGGAAGTTTGATTTTATTCACTATTCAATGCTGTTGTTTGCTGTGTTGTCATTTTCTTAAGCACCCTATGTCTTGTGAAAACTTCAAGGTACACACATTTTTAAGTTTTAGCAAAGAGCAGGAGCAATAAGAGAGTCGGTCTTTGTTTTAGGATGCTTTCTTTGGCCCAAATGCACATTTTGATCAGACAGATACTGCAGGGATGAGAGGTGAGCTGGGAAACTTATTGTTCCACTCGCCTCCACTTTCATCAGATGACGAATGCAATCAAAGTGCATTTACAGGCACCGTCACATTCAGGTCAGACCAGCACGGGTGCCACAAACTGAACAGCAAGAGGCCACACCTGATATGGTTCGTGGGATTACTATGAGAAACAGGACCGTTCACAAACACAAAGGCAGAGTTAGAAAATTATCTCCTGCCCAAACTTCTCATCTGGTAATCACCTAAAAAACCTGCTTGGCTAGAATTTGTTTTCCATCTATCTTTTTTTTTTTTTGGCAAAACTCCAAAAAATAAGTTTTGCCAAATTTTTTTTTTTTTTTTTTTTGCAGGGCCTTAGCTGGACCTGCAAAACTCGCAATGCACATATTTCACAACTCTAAGCTGTAAGACCAGCAAACTGATCACACAATTTATTGCTTTACCCTTTAACTTTCTCCATAGGTGGCTTGAAAGCATCTAAGCAATGTGGTTAGCCAGACTTTCTGAATGCCACACCTCACCGTTATCTCCATGACCTGTCAGATTTCCCATGTGTCGACAGGCGGCCTTTCTCGAAGGAATAAAACCGCGAGTCTGAAACTGATTGAAATATCTTCAACGCGATCAACTGTTTTACTTGAAAAACAGAAAACCGGTGCCAAGCGTGAGGGTGACGCCAGGTTATCTGAGACCCGGCCTCATGCCTTCGCGGTCGGCGTGCGTTCTGATGAACGAAGCACAGTGAAGTTACAATATCGAGATTTTGAGCACTTGCAGGTGGACCAGTCAAATCAAGAAGACCTATTACTTCTCCGAGATCTAACTGTGCACACTGAGCAGAAACGCACAGTGACAGCGCTGGGATTTGTCATCGCTAAAGTTTGAATAACACACCCTGACTTAGTGTGACACAGAGGGAAACATGCTGCTCTGTAGCATTCCTCTGCACAGGATGAAGGGTGTATGCAGACAGTCTGCATGAAACACTGAGATTGTTTGCCACACCAGAGTAAACAATTGTTTTTAGGCTTTTAAGCTTGGTTTGAAGTTGGAGCTCATTAAAAAATATCATGTCATTTATTCTTGAACAACTGAACAAGATACGTTGCAAATTTCTTTTAGAGACCAGATAAGGATGCTTTTACCCTCATTTGCAAGCACTAGTATTACCATCAAAACCCCATAAAGCCCAATGGATGCTGCAAAAAATGTTCATATTTTGTTGGCATTTTATGTGCTGGAATGCATTTTTCTGAAATATTAGATTGTTTTTGCAGTCATTTGTTTGAATTTGAGAGCAAAGGAAAAATATCTTATTTGGGGCACCTGGGCCACCCCTGGTGGAATGGCACCCTGAGTGGGGAGCCATACTACCTATATTAAAGACTGCCACGATTTCGCAAAAAGTGTTTTCCACATCATCATTTTAACAAATGCACAAAATATTTGAGAGTAAATGGGAAATTACAACACTAACATCATACTTAAGCCTTGCTTAAAGTTGATATAAGGTTTAATAATTTACACAGACTGTACGGCATGTTTCTGTACAGGTTCTGAAAGTTAAAAGGTTCAACAACCAACTTAAAAGAAAAACATCTCTTCCAGAAAAGACACTGAATCAAAACCATGCAAAACCTACTTTTCATACTTTACTGACTGTCTAATAACTTCAGATTGTTTTTCCATTCCACCATTTATCACTAATTCCACTGGCCAGCGGATCTGGTCATGAGAAGATTACAGGACAGAACAACAGCGACATATAATAAAGGGGAGATGAGCAAAGTATCTTTCAAAACATTATGAAACTCAAATGAGATGTATTTCAACATACAGCAGGGAAAAATACGTGTTTTAATATTAATTTATTAAATCTATTTCAGTTGCTTTCAAATAAATTATTAAAACTGTGTTTCTATTCTGAAATAATTGTTGAAACATATGTAACAATTAGTAGGAATATATGTCATATATTTATGTTTCTGTGGCTCGAGCGGCCTGTATTTATCAGTCTCTGGTCAGAGACATGCAGCAAACTGGCAGGTCCTTGTTCCGAAACAAACTGGAAAGAGTTTCAGTCAGTGGCCGCACCTGAAACCTGAAGGCCCAGACACACCCAGGCGTTTCCTAGGGATGCAGACACAATGGATCCACACAATGCAGAGCCAATACTGAGCCGGAACAGTTTAGTGGATGACAGATGTTTTTCAACGAAGAGCAGAGAAATACTTGTCAGTGGAGTTTGCATCCCCCTGGTGGCGGTTATTGGTTTTGTATCTCTTGATTTTGACCGGGACGTCAGATGATCTTCATATTCATTTTTTGTATTTTCTGTCTGTGCAGCAATATGAGCGCACGTGATCCTCCACCCTACCTCAACAAAGGTATGTTAAACACACACATCCTTGTGTACGGTGCCTTGCAAAACTTTATCCACCGTTTCGCCTTTTCCACATTGTTACAGTCAAAACTTTACACGGCATTATGTAGGATTACCATAATTGTGAAGTGAAAGAAAAATTATATTTCTCAGCCTCATTTACTCTAATACTCCTAACTAAAATCCAGTGCAAGATGTTGAAATGACAAAAGTCATTTAGCTAGTGGATAGTCCACCTGCATGTATTTGTTACTTTATTTAAACTCCATGTAAAGTAAGCTTGTGCATTCCCACAATGCTGTGGGGATCCTTTTATTGAGAAGGCATGGAGAAGTCAATGTAAGGATGAATTCAGCTAAATGCAGTGGGGAATGGCCTAGTCGAAGTCCGAACCTTGGAAATGACCTTTTCCTCACATAATGACTGGTGGCAATGTGGCAAAGGGTAAAAAGGTTATTTTTTACTGGTCGTTAATCCCCTCCTGTTTTCTCTCCTTTGTTTTTGCTTGAGCAGATACTCAGGCGTCAGGAGTGAAGGTTTACCACGTGCACACCCCGTTCACCCCTCCTGACCAAGAGGAGGTCGGCGCTGCCTCTGTGGCCACACCAGGTACTCAAATAAACACAGAAAAACATCAGTTCCTTTGTTTTGTTTTTAAACAGAAACTTGAGCATCGGAGTGATCCTCTAACCGTTCTGCTTCCCTTCTCCCCTGCAGTGTACACCAGTGGAGGTGGTGGGGGAGGCAGCAGCGATCAAGGAAAAAGGAAATTTGTGAGCTACGATGTGGGTCTGGGTCGGGACCCCGGCATGACGACCTGCACGTCCTGCCAGCAGCAGGTCATGACCAACGTCCATTACAAAGCAGGGACATACGCCTGGCTCATGTGCATACTCTTCATCTGCTGTGGGTGAGTGTCTGATGGGTGAAGCCAAAAGGCTCCAAAAAAAAAAGAAAGAAAAGAAAGAAAAACAGATTTGTGATTCATATTTAGTGAAACACATCTAACCGCTTGGCTTTGCCTTCAAGGAGAGCAGCTTTCTTGTGATATTTTAGAATGGCCTTTAATAAGAATAATTAAAAAAAAAAAGAAAAAGAAAAAGCTCTCGAGGCTTATTGAAGCTCTTTGAAACTGGAAACGCTTGGAGGGCATTTATTATTCACTGTGCTGCACATGAAATATTGCCATTATGGATTTCATGTTGTTCAAAAATGTGAATTCATTTGCTTCCTATTCAAATGCATGCATGTTCTAAATAATCAAATATATTAAACACACTATTTGTTTATTCAAATTTCTCTTGGTCATTTATTAATAGCTAACCCCAGTCTTGTACACATGTTTTTAATATGAAATTAGAAAATAAGAATATTATTTTTCTATTGTTTTTTAAATTTAAAAAATATATTATTTAGATTTTATTTATTTGTATTTTATGTATAAATACAAATACTTATGAAAAACATATATTAGATATTAATTATTTAAAGCTCATATTTATTCACTATTAATTGATTAATTATTACATTTTAATGTTTTTTTTTTATTTTGAGTGTTTTCTTATAGGCCTGCTTTTGAATGACAAAAATATATCTTGAAGTCTTTAAGATATTTTTTAATAAAATAAATTTAATATTGAATCTGACAAAACACATAAAAGTTCGTTATTAAAAGGTGACAAAACCTTAAAAAAAAATCAAGAAATGTTTATACTTTTGCAACAGGATAAATCTCGAATGTGCCGGTGTGAAACTCAGCCTGTTCGTTTTTCTGTTTTTTTTTCGCAGATTGTTCCTGTGTTGCTGCCTGATTCCATTCTTCATCGACAGCTTCAAGGACGCGTACCACACCTGCCCCCGCTGCCAAAGAGTCCTGCACGTAGAGAAGAAGGAGTGCTGTAAATGATAAACAGCTGCGGGAGACGAACCCTTAGAAATAATCAGCGCCATCTTGTCAGCTTTGTCTGCCTCTGGATTCCAGAGACCTGGAGAAGCAAATCGAGCGTTTTTTTTTTTTTTTTTTTTTTTTTTTCTTTTTGGGAATGGG